CTTTAAAATTTATTACTAATCAAGCGGCACCATATACACCTTTCATAGTTACAAGCAGGAAATACACTATATTTTTGCTATCTTTTTTAATTGAATTTGAAATATGAAATTTTATTTTTATGTAATTTTCGAGCATAATTAAGAATTTTTAAAAAATAAAATTTTTACATATCACATGATTTTAATAATAAACTACGCCAATAATATGGAATTTTTTCCGTCAGTGTATACATAGTACCTGCTGGATAAATCACTACATTTAATATGTTGATTTAGTGTCTATGTATTATTTGATTCAACTTTTAATGAGCTATCTGCAAGTGATTGTTGTATATTCTCATCTTGCGGTAAACTTTACTACGAATATTTAGCGCAAATATAGAACCTGGTTTAATTCCTACAGTAATGGTTTATTTAAATATTCAAGTGATTCTTTATATCTACCAATTATACGATAAGTATTACCACTAACCTTTAATGCAAATGCATTATCTGGCTAACTTCTAATGATCTATTTAGATCTGCAAGTGATTCTTCATATTTGCCTATTGCACAATAAGCATAGCCACGAACTCATAATACAGACGCATTATCTAGTTCGATTTCTAATGATTATTTAAATCTTCAAGTGATCCTTCATATCTTACTACCATAAGATATGTATCTCCACGCCATTTTAATGCAAACCTACCATCTGGTTTAATTTCTAATGATCTATTTAGATCTGAAAGAGATTCTTCATATTTGCCTATCATACGATAAATATTTCCACGCAATTTTAATGTAAATGTACTATTGGGTTCAATTCCTAAAGCTTTATTTAAATCTGTAAGTGATTATTTATAACTTCCATCTCAAAATAGGTGACACCACGATTTTTTAATTCAATTTCTAGTGATTTAGTCAAGGCTATAAATGATCCTTTATATTTGCCCATTATTCGATAAGTTACACTATTTTTTCTTAATTCTGATGCGTTATTTAGTTCGTTTTCTAGTGTATCAATATCAACAATGGGAATGTTTTCTCTTGAAGATAATATTGAATGTAAATTAGTACAAGGAGACAAGATGTGTAAAGTAATAGGATTTTTGGAGCAATAAGGTTTAGCTTGATATTGGCCCACAAAGTTGGGTTAGGGATTTTCAAGTAAGGACAAATTTTCTCAAAAATAACTTTTTCAGAAATTTGAAAATATTGAATTAAAGGGAGACAATTACGAATCGAACCTTTTAAAGCTATAAAGTGTTCATTTGACCATTGATCAAGATTTTGAGGTAAAGAATGATTTTGAGAAATTCCCCACTTAATAATATAATCTCCATTTTTCCTTCATCTATTTGTAGATTATCAAGCTTTAAAATAAAAATTAAAACGTTTTTGAAGTTTAAGAAATTCATCCGCATCAAAAATATAGTGTATTTCCTGCTTGTAACTATGAAAGGTGTATATGGTGCCGCTTGATTAGTAATAAATTTTAAAGATGTTTGTTGACCTGATAATCTTGGAATACGGGATCTAAATGTTAGTTTCTTACTAAAATTAGATCCCGTTGGAGTTAGGGTAGATGTTGAATTACTCGAATCTACGAATAAAGTATATTGAAAGTCATAAGCTAGTAATTAGAATAATACATACCCAAATTCTCATTATATTGTTTTAGCCCATTATTAAGTGTAAATATTCTTCTCCTATCATTATGTTTGAATCTAAAAAAAAAAACAAATCAAATCAACGAATACTATATTATTTTATAATTATTGCGGTTTGCATAATTTTGTGATCCCCTATGATTACAGAATTAATTTTTTTTAATGACGCGATTGCTAAAGCCAGCCAATTTATCATAAATCCAAGTTTGTGTCAAACTCAGATTTATGATACTTTAGCAATCACGATCGCAATCACAATTATTTAATCATTAAAAAAAGTAATCCTATAATCATAGGGGGTCACAAAATTATGCAAACCACAATAAATAGAATAAGGCCACACAAAGTTGATTTTTGTTTTGCATTCCATGGATTTCAAAATTCCAGGTTGGTTGGATTTTTTTTCTTTCTTTTCACGTCTAAGATTGCAAAATTTAACTTTTCGCTTTGTACAAAATTGTTGTGAATCTTTAAAATTATCATCTTTAAACTAGCTTGATAAAACCCGAAAAAAGTTAAGATGTAACCAAGAAGCATTGTTATTTAATAAATATAGTTAAATATGCTTAATTAACTCTTCAGGACCAAATTCATTAGAAGCAATTAAAAGTTCAAAGACGACTAAAGTATTATCATTTTCTAACAAATGCTGCCATCATTATCTTATGCTTTTATTAATAACTCGAAATCCTAACTCTGAAACAAAACGACAAAAAATATGCCCCAAAGACTTTAATTAAAATGGGTTCAACAATCTAGCATCAGTCGTGGCATCTAATAATTAATATACACTTTTTAATGAAGCTTTCGTTCTCTGGTAATAATAATATTAAGTATCATACAATTCGATTAATTTCCGGTATAGGCCACACAAACAATATGCTAGTTATATACTAGTTCAATAAACATAATAATAAATTAGTTTATAATATTTGTTGTTAATTGAGTTGCGAATTTATTTATATTTAACTCTGCTATATTTGAGAGTTGCAGAGTAAAAACCTGTAACTACAATTAATGATTTATTATAATCAGCTACAGGTCACTCTGCAACACTCATAATCGATTAAGACCTATTTGACTAATTAATTCTTTGAATTTGAAATATTTCATTTATACGACTTAAAATGGAGGAAAAAATAGTACATTTTTCAAAGAAAAAATAAAACTATTTTCGCAATTTGCCCCAAAAAATCAATTTTATATGACTATATACACCAATAATTTCATAAGCATTTTAAACTTTAACCCACAATTATAATATAAATATATAACTAGTTATCAATAGTTCAATGTTCAATTCAACTCTAATGAGCTCTACTCTTCAATATATTTGCAGCCTGCATCCATAAAGAGCTCGGATCCCTAGCACTCCGTTCATCATAATATAATTGATAATTTGCGCGTCTAACAGAATAGTCCATAACTTCATTTGGATTATTGATACTGTAGGCTTCAAGTATGGTAAAACTCAAGGTTAAATTTGCAGGAAAAGACAATTTAGAAATTAAAGAAGGATCAATATTCTTAACATTTCTAAGTACATAATTCATAGCAATAGTATTTGTTGCCGCTCCAACAGCGTATTGAGCATAAGAAAATGGATTATTCGGAAATCCACCGACAGATATTGTGGGAACATTAATTTCTGCTAATCTTTGAGTTATAATTGCACAAGCTGAAAAACATAATCCATTTGTTAAAATTATAATATCTTTCTCAGTCCAAGGAAATTTTGGAGGTGTCGGTGGTTCTAATGGACCATTGTAAAGTGTTGTATCATTAAAAAATGCTTTCGTAGTGTATTTAACTTGGACACCACCACGAGTATAAATATTATTTCCAATAAAATCCATAACATTATTAAATTGAGAATTCGTCTTTGTAGAAAGATATGACTTATAATGAAATAAAACTCCATCAAATGTATTTGCATTTACATCTATTAAATTTTCAAGCTTAAGCTTTGAAAATTCGTTTATAAATGGGAGTGAATTATTATTAACCTTTAAAGCTACTGGAAAATTTTTTATGTTAGGAAATAAGAGTTTATTTATATAATGAGCAGCGAAGACATCGCCACCATTATTGTTACTTAAATCTAAAATAATCTGATATGTAGAAATATTTTTAGTAAAATATTTTTAGCATTTATGAATCTTTAACGTAGTTAATTTAGCATACCTTCTTTATTCCTTTTTCTGCAAGCATCTTAAATCCAGTAACTATATTAGATAGAAAGTGATATTCAAGGTCATTATCATTATTTATAATGGTTTCAGTTGAAATTATGACCACACCAAAATCTTCTAATTTATAAAATCTAGCAATGAATGCATCAAAAATCAATGTTGCTTTTCCGACTGAGGACCCAGTAATGTATGGAGATTTATATTTATAAAGTGATGGAAATTTAAGTTTAATAGGAACTTGCCATTCTCGAGTAATTTTAGAAATTTTATTATTACAATTGAGCGTATAAGAAATACTCGGACTTTTTGGTAATTGGTTACGAATTGAGAATAATTGTCCTATCGATGCCATTTGAAAATCTCCGTTCCCAAAACCAAGTGATGCGAGGGCTGAATTAAATCGACCACTTAAATCTCTTGAAAAAAATGTTTTATTCCTAGCAAATTCAGTAATTACATCAATTGCTGGTTTGTCATCTATATGCGTAACTTGGCAATCGATAGTGCTAGAATCTTTTACGTCATCAAAAACTTTAATTTGCTAAAGTAATAAATTAATTAATATATAGTTTTTTATATATTTATGAATATTTAATTATTTACCTGCGTGCCATCTTTTTTAATTACAGAATACAAGGACAATCCCTGATAAAATGCATACTTATTATAGTTGGTAGACGTGAGCCTGTGACAAAATATAAAAATTACTAATTATATCTTTGTAATAATATTTTTAATAAGCGAAATCACATACCTGGTATGTCCATCTTTTAATTCTCCAATAAGGTCTGCAACATCATACTAATATTCGTCATTAAAAAAATCATAAGTAATTTTATAAATATTTATTAATATGCGTATATTTGAAATTATATAGATATATTTACAATGAATTGAAATTCATATGAATAATTTTTTTTTAAAATCAAATCCAATTCAGATATTAGATCAATAGGCTTAAATGTAAATCCAGGTTTTGGTTCTTCTCTTGCTTGATCTAGCAATGCATAGAATCCTTTAAGAGTTTCTTTCACTACTTCTATTACCTAAGATAAATAAAAGTTTAATATTAACTATTAAATTTAAGCCTTATTTATTTTCTTAAAATTAGAAATACCTGAATCGCCTTTGTCTTATCATACGGTGTTGATTCATAACATGCTTTTACATCCGCATAATTAAGATATTCAAGCTCTGAATAGATTGAACTAGCATATTCATTAAGCTTATCACATGGATTTGCATTTGTATCACGTGGAATCCAGTGTAAATGGACGCTACTAGTAAATACAATAAGTATAAATGCTATGATATAGATTATTTTCATTTGATTTGATGTTATTTGAGCAAATTGTAATTATTTTGTTATGAGGTTGGGCCATTTTATAAAATTTTCTTGTATAAATTTTCATTTGTTGTGATTAATAATTTTAGTCTAAATTAAATGCCAAAAAAAGAATTTTATTTCTATTCACTAAACAAAGAATTTTATACATATCCTACCAAAAAAAGAAATTTATTTCTAATTACCAAGCATAGAATTTATTTCTATTTATAGCTTCTGAAAAAAGAAAATATTCTAAATAGAAAATATGCTGCCTATTTTATCATATTCTCAATGGCATAATTTGCATCTATATTGATAATCAACAAATAGATGAAGGAAAAATGGAGATTATATTATTAAGTGGGGAATTTCTCAAAATCATTCTTTACCTCAAAATCT